ACAGCCCAGAGAAGAAAAGGAGAGAACTGAAGCACGAACTGAAGTTGTCACGAACTGAAACAGGTCACGAACCTTGCTCTGATACCATGTTTCTATTGTTGCCACAGTAGTCCGAACCAGTAAGGAGAAGAAGAAAGAGAAGGAGAAGAAGAAGAAGAGGAGAAGAAGAAGAAGAAGATGAAAGAACTGTCGAACCTTATAGCTAAATCCTATCATTCGACCTCTTAATATTAGGCTCTAATTAAATGTACAAGGACTAAACTGCCCTACTTAAGTATGGGACAGAGAACCTCTAATAAGACTGCCACATAAGCTCATAACTTAACCAAGGTGAGTTGACTAATCTACCCTTATTCGGCTAACTCTAACAGGCTTGAATCTTTAGATCTGGTGTTGCCTAGAGGAGATCTATTGATCCTCTTTGGTTTGGTTTGGATCGGTTTTGATCTAGAAGGGTTTCAATCTACTTATGGGTTTGGAAGACAAATACAGTTTTCTTTTCTAGACATCAATTGCCAGGTACTTCTCTCTACTTCTTGACTTGAAGTCTCTCTACTCTTTTTGAAGTGTGCACTGTTGTTCTTTGTCCTTTTAATGGCATCAGAAAGGATGGAAGTTCTCCCTATTAAGTTTTGTTATTTTAGGAGCTTCAGCAGTTCAAATCAATCGAACCTGGTAGCCTAAACCTTACCAGTYGACCATAATATGGATTAGGGGTTTTAATTAAAGTACAATGACTAAACTGCCCCCACTTAAGTATGGGACATGAAGTCTACAAGAGTAATATTAGAACTGCCACGTAAGCACATAACTTAAACTGAATGAAAAGACTAATCTACCCCTCATTCGGCTAACTCTAACATTCCCCCTCAAGCTGGAAAATATGCCATATAATCCCAACTTGTTACATATATAGTTTACTCTCTTTGAGCTTAAACCTTTTGTAAACAAATCTATCCACTGATCACCTAAGCCCACATGTTCTGTACTTGTCTCTCCAGTAAGGACTTTCTCCCTCACAAAGTGGCAATCAATCTCTGTGTTTTGTTCTCTCATGAAAAACAGGATTAGATGAAATGTGAATTGCAGCTTGATTATCATAGTACAATCCCATAGGTCTGTCCATCGAGAATCCAATTTCTTATAGGAGGTTTCTCAGTCATACTAATTTACATGTAGTGTGTGCCATGGCTTTGTATTCGGCTTCAACACTACTCCTTGCCACAACGGTATGCTCTTACTCTTCCATGTCACCAGATTTCCTCCAAGGAATGTGTAGTAACTTGTAGTAGATCTTCTATCCAACATTGAGCCTGCCCAATTTGCATTTATATACCCAACTACCTTAAGTCTTTCTCCTGGTTTGTACAATAACCCGCAGCCTGGAGCTCCCTTTAGGTACCTTACAAACCTAACTACATGCCAGTGAGGTATCCGAGGGTTCTGCATAAATTGGCTCACCACACTGATAGTCAGATAGTTCAACTTCCCCACTAACCGTCTGTATCTTCCAGGATCATCAAATATTTCACTTGTATCACTGCTCAACTTAGCATTTGGTTCCTTGGGAGTTTCAGTCGGTTTCGCACCTAACAATCCTGTTTCATCCAGTAGATCAAGGACATATTTTCTTTGGCACATGTTTACACCTTGTTTTGATTTGGCAACTTCTATACCCAAGAAATACTTCAACTTCCAGGTCTTTTGTTTGAAAATGGTCTTGTAGGAAGGCCTTTAGTTTATCAATCCCCAATCTATCATTGCTAGTTATGACAATATCATCCACATTGCTACTAATAAAATCTTTCCAGCTTTTGAATCATAGTTGAACACTGAGTGGTCAACCTAACATTGTTTCATTCCAAAATTCTTCACCACTTCACTAAACTTGCCAAACCAAGTACAAGGAGATTGTTTCAACTCATAAATTGCCTTTTCCAGTCTACACACCTTACCATCCTCCCCCTGAGCAACAAACCCAGGTGGTTGCTCCATATATACCTCCTCCATAAGGTCACCATGAAGGAATGCATTTTTAATGTCAAGTTGAAACAAGGGCCAGTCATACATAATACATAACTTCCAGGGAAATTAAGACATGGACTGAACTAATTTTTGTCACTAGAGAGAAGGTCTCCAAATAGTCAACCCCATACAATTGAGAATAACCTTTAGCAACAAGTCGAGCCTTCAAACGCTCCACACTGCCATCCGACAAGTATTTAACAGTATACACCCATTTACAAATTACAACTCACAACATGCTTACCTGGAGGAAGAGTAGTGAGCTCCCATGTGTGAGTATGTTGAAAAACAGAGAGTTCCTCCTCCATTGCTTGATGCCACTCGGGTGAAGTAAGGCCTCTTGGACATCCTTAGGTATAGAGATAGGTGACAATAGAGAAACAAACTGGCGATGTGAAGCGGAAAGGTGAGAAATTGAAACAAAATTAGAAATGGGATGTAGGGTGTAACTACGTTTACCTTTCCGTAAAGCAATGGGAAGATCAAGCTCTAAAGGTTTTGGGACAGGAGCAACAACAGGATCCACAGACAAAGTAGAAGCCGGAGGAGGTGCCGATGTCTGTCAATGAGTATACATGTAACGGATCGRTGGTCATTCAGTAAGAATCTACACTGGAGGAGGTGAAGGTTCAGTCCCAACTAGAACAACCGGAACGGGATCACGGACTGGAAGAGGGAGAGGAAGCAAAGGTGGAGATAACAATACTTCAGGTCCCGAGAAGAACGAGACGGATTCAAAAAAAGTGACATCAAAACAGACATAGAACTTCCGAGTAATGGGATTGTAACACTTATACCCTTTCTGGGTTCAAGAGTAGCCAAGAAAAATACACTTAATAGAGCATGCATCCAGCTTGTCTAACCCAGGACTCAGATTGTGAACAAAGCACACACAGCCAAAGACTCCAGGTGTTAATGGAAAATGAGACAAGGTGGAGAACAAAACAGAAAAGGGAGACGGACCATGAAGGATGAAGGAGGGCATCCGATTAATAAGGAAACAAATAGTAAGTACAACATCACTCCAAAATCGTTTAGGAACACTCATATGATGAAGAATGGACCGGGCAATTTCAAGGAAATGACGGTTTTTTCGTTCAGCCACCCCAATTTGCTGAGGGGTGGATGCACATGAAGTTTGATAAATGATGCCATGTTCTAAATACTATTGAAAGGAAGTGAGAAAGTATTCACGACCATTATCTAAACAAAGAACTTTGATTGGAACACCAAATTGTGCACATAATTCAGCATGAAATTTTTGAAAAATGGAAAATAATTCACTCATTTCTTTCATTAAATAAATCCATGTCATCCTCGAACAATCATCAATGAAAGTGACAAAATACTTGTAACTATTATAAGACTCTATTTTAATCGGACTCCAAACATTTGAATGAACTAAAGCAAAAGGACTCAACATACGATTATCAACTCTAGGATTGAAGGAAACCCGATGGTGTTTCCCATATTAACACGACTCACACTGTAAAGACGACAAATGACTCAAAGGCGGAACTAGTCTCTTGAGTGCCTTGAGAGATGGATGTCCCAGCCGACAATGCCATTGTAGAGGAGTGAGAGAAGTCTGAAGTACAACTGACGATCCACCACTGTCAAGATAATACAATCCACTGGCTTCATGCCCTCCACCAATCTTCTTCCCCGTCTTGAGATCCTGAAAAACACAAAATGAAGGGGAAAATGTAATAATGCAATTAAGGGTCTTAATTAATTTACTAACTGACATAAGATTGCATGGAAATTTAGGTACATATAGAACAAATGGTAAAGAAAGAGAAGTTGTGTCAACATTACCAACACCACAGATGGGAGAAGAGGAACTATTGGCAAGGGTAACAGTTTGAGATGTGGAAGTTTCAGAGAGGAAAGTGAAGCATGTGAAGGAAGATTAACCATCAGCTGACTCTCCAAAGTTTGATGACTGGGAACAGGAAGATGCCCAAATCATGACATGGTTATGGAACAGTATGAAACCCAAAATAAGTGCCAACTTTATGTTCTTAGATACAACTAAGGACATATGGTAACATGCCAAGAAGCTCTATTTTGGGCAGGATAATACTACGAGGGTATATCTACTTCTGGGTTTGGAAGACTATTACAGTTTTCTTTTCTGGACATCAAYTGCAAGGTACTTCTCTCTACTTTCTGACTTGAAGTCTATCTACTCTTTTGGAAGTGTGCACTGTTGTTCTTTGTCCTTTTAATGGCATCAGAAAGGATGGAGGTTCTCCCTATTAAGTTTAATGGTATGAACTATGCACTATGGAACTTTTTTCATTTCCTCTGATTCTTCTTGATCACTAGACACCTTTCAAGGCTCTATGAACCCTTTGGGCATCTGCTGCACTCTGCCAGCAATCTCAAAGAACCAGCCGATTGGCTTATCTTTGCTAAAACTTACAACCCTAGGAAGTTCTCATGCAGTCGGCCTGACTAGACTCTCATGAGAAGCCCTAGGTTGGCTCTGATACCAACTTGTCTAGTAAGACTGCAATCAGTTCTAGTTGTAATGTAAAATAAACAAGAGAGAAAGCTGAGAATAAGAGAAGAAAAAGAGAAGAAGAGGAGAAGGAGAAAAGAGAATACGAAGAGGAGAAAGTCAAAGAAGAGTGTGGGTTATGACTGAGATTATCGCCCCACTCAACTATTTATATTAATAGTTTAAAACAGGGTAAAAAGCCAGAATTACCCCTACTGCTTACATAAGCTAAGAAATAACAGAAACAGAAAATAACTACCAACTACCAACTAAGCAACATAAATAGACAAACAGCAGTGGGGACCACATTATTGTTCTACATCTCTACAGATACAATTACAACCTACACTATAATAAATTACTTATTCAACATAAAGCCCAAGGTTAGTAGTTTATCAAAATATAGCAACAAGCCAGGTGAGCCATACTTGGGTACAGGCTCTGTCTGCAGTGCACCCCAAAGAACGAGCCTCACCTTTGAGTCTGGGCAAGCCTTCTAAGGGTCCATTTAGTTCACATCCTAGAGCCCATTTCCGGCTCATTCTTGCTTAGATTGGGCAAGAATGGGCTAAAATGATGTTTGGTATGGATATCTGTTCAATTTCTATTCAGAAATGGGCAAGAATTTAAGCCCATTTCTTGCCCAAGTGT